TCAAATCAACCTTTTCATCTTTTCCCTTCCCAAGATTTAAAATTTTAAAAACAAATCAAAACCCACTTCTTTTTTCCCTCATTTCTCATTTCTCCCTTCGCCTTTCTTCATCTTCTTCCAAGAAACCGCCGACCAAATCCATTCTCCATGGCGCGATCGAAGCAACCAGTCTGCAACCACCCATCCCGGCGTTCTCTTCACCGGCGAAAGACTGCCGCCGCTTCCACCGCTGTGCCATCGACGACCGCGCCTGTTGCAACCTCGTCGGCCGAACCATCTTCATCGGCGACGGGAGGATCCTCCACCGCTAGTGCCATCACCGCGAGCACGATTGCCGCCTTCYGCGACCCCACTCCGGCGACTGTAAGTCCTTCTCTTCCTCCATTTTCATCCACACGACACTCAACCCCAACCACCACCGTACTCTCTATTGATGATGATGGTATGGATGTCCTAACAAGGGTGGCTCTATCATCTCATTTGGGCGAATCATCCTCAACCCCTAAACCATTTTCCATTTCATTAAGTACCCCATTTGCCCCTCCCACGATTGCACCCTCAAGACCCATTTCTACTCCCATCCCAAGTGATGAGGAACCAACCCTAGCCCCTCCACCCACGACTTCCCCAAATCACTCATGGTTTGATTTGAACCAAATGGGGGAGGGTGAGGATGAAGGCTTGGACGATATCACATTTGATTTTGAAGGTATACCGGAGGGAGGACAAACCGAAACTTACCCATTTGAGACACCATCAACTTTTGGTGCCGGTAAAACGCCCGATCAAACCCCCGTCACAGTCCCTACTGTTGAAAGGAGGTAAACTCGTTCGACGAGTCAAGCTTCGGGTGGGCCGAAGACTAGGTTCCAACAATGGCGGGAAAAGGGTAAGGCAAAGGTGACGGAGGCTCTCGATGATGATTATGAGCCGGAAGAGGAAGAAACTCCAGTCCCGACACCGCGTAGGCGACGGACTGCTTCGCGCTCGAGAGGTACATCTTCATCTTTTGATGATCGGTTGGAGTTAATACGCCATAATCGATTTTTATGTGAACGGGCTTTTGACCCAAAGATTAGTGAAAAACTCATGTGCGTAAAGCATCATTTACTTGCACATCATTGGGAAAACATGATAGCCATCCCATGCAAAGTGAACGAGACGTTAGTTAAGGAATTTTTCGCGACTATCGGGACTTCCAAAAATGAC